CGAATCGCGCGCGCGATATTCGCAACCATACGTCGCGAATATTTTTTTTTTTTTTTCTCTCCTTTTTTTCACGGTGAAAAATACGATTTTATACGTTTGATAAAATGCGACAGAGAAACTAAAAGAGACATTTCCATGCCGTTTATAAATTCCCTGAATAGGAAGAATAATGGAGCCATAGGCGTGCTCGTAAAACAAATACCGAGGTCGCTGTATGAATTCGTTGTATGAATATGCATATAAAATGATATATCAACTTTCCGTCGTCGTATATCAAATTTACATACAAACCGCGCGATCTGTTAATTTTATACATGCCACTTTACTTTGGATTACCGACAAATTTTTTTCTCTTTCACCTTTTTCTCTTTTCCATCTCTTTTATTTTTCTATTTTATCTATACATATATATATTTTTTTTATCTTTTTTTTTTTTTTTTATGTATTACATAGCTTATTTTCGTTGATTTTCGCCAAACGAGGTTGGAATTCGCGGTGAAAATTTGCACGCGGACCACGTATGCAATTATTATTCACGAGAAAACGGATATTTATTTAACGCTTCCGGTGTGACGGTGTCGATTATAACAAGCCGGATTTTTTAATAAATATTTATGAATTTAATTCGCCGAGTTTCGATTGGAACAATCGCGAATGCGCCCCTCAGTATACCGGGGTTCGTTCATCGTGATGGGGAATGAAATTGATAATGGTTGCAAAAATTGGATACCTCGTGTTCTATATACAAAAATTTTAGATTACGTGGATTTAAATTCAGAATTTATTTTCCGGCGTGGAAAACACGTTTTTTGGATATTATTTGAGTAGAATATCCGAAGATTGAGTAGTATATTTGTTGAATAATATATCGTTTTAATTATTTAAATATTAATTAAATTTATCACGAATTAATTCTTTTAAAATTGGCTATTTATTTAAATAAATATATTATCATATAATCTTATATTCAAAATTTTGTAAACAATTTTATTACCAACATGAGTTCTGAGTTTTATTATTGGATGTATATGTAAATTATGAAATAAAATAATTGGAAGCTAATTTCATTTACTTGTAATTTGAATTAATATTTGAATGATTAATTAATTACTCACTTCATCTTATTCGAATTCTCACAGGAAGTTGCATTTTATATCTCATCGATTACGATAAGTTGCAACGAATGTTTTATTAATTATTTCATAGCCAGTGAGCGTAAACAAGTAAATTTCATATTTCGAAGCTCTCTGAAAAAAGGAGAAAAAAGAAAAAAGAAAAAAAAAAAAAAGAATCTGGTATGATATAAAACACTTGTGCTCTATTAATCGTATTCGCCGATCCTTTCATTAATCCTTTCATAAGCCGTGAACAATAATAATCGTGTATTCGTCTTTCGTGATTAAGAAAATAGTTCGCATGCCATAGTTTCTTTAATTATTTTATCGTTCTCACCACCAGGAATAGGCACATTTCATTAAGAGAATTGCAAACGGCATTACACGCTTTGTTCCACTGATGCCGTGCTTAGGAAATTATTTCCATTTACATAAATTAATATCGTTTCAAATAATAATAACAGTAACAGTTTATTTAATCGTTTTCTTATTATTTTTTTTTCCTGGTTACTTAAAACATTCTTTGGAAAATTGGAAGAATAGATAGGATGATAAAGGAATTAAATTGAAATCTTTAATATTTTTGTAATAAGATATTAATAATTCAAAAAGGTTGTTTTTAGATAATATCTGTCAGGATCAAAATTTAATTCAAAATTTTGTTTTTTTTTTTTTTAATAAATAAAAAGATATTTTTTTATTTACAATACAGGCATATAATTAATTCTTTTATGTAATTCAATAATGGTTTACAAATTTTTATA